GTGGGCCGTAACCCAAGGACCCCACAGCGGTTGAACTTCTACAAACGGTTTTCATATATTCATGGCAAATTATAATGCTGCGAGAGTATAAAATGCGACGAAGAAAGACAAAAGTTGCCCCATTCATACGGGTCACACTCGGGCAGACACGGCCTCAAACCATTTGGCCTGCCACCCACAGAGCCAACTACCAGCCACCACCCACCACCCAGCACCCACCTTCTCCCACCTGTAATATGGAGCCCATTCCCTCCGATGGCTTCCGAAATAGCGACAATGTCGAGCTGCTGCTGGCCACGTGTAAACATGCATCTCCATATATCAATAAATTGAGATTACTTACATAATTTGTATTCCAAAATCCAAAAACTGTTAAAAAAGTTGCCTTGGCCCCTTTTTCATACGATTGGCTGTGTGTGTGTGTGTGTGTGTGTGTGTGCTGTACACGAGTACATTGTGGAAAAAGTTTTTCTTTTCGAGTGAGAGTGGCTGGGGTGTTTTCCTCGGGGAGCAATTCGGTTAATATTCCGAACATAAATTTGCAAAGGAACCACTTTAATCAATGGCCAGGTGGGGAACCCGTTGGAGGGATAGGCGAGGTATATGGTATGTATATGGATATGGATAGGGCGCAGGGATCAAAGGACGAGCCCAGCCCCGCCCCTTTGGCGCCCCTGCGAGGTGCAATGTACCATCGAGCGGCGGTATTGATTTGCCTGAGAAGATCAGAACAATGGGCGTGTGGCAGCGGTTTTTCCGGCTCATTCGCATCTGATTTGGCAGGCGGAGATGCAATGTCTGGTTCGCTTCACCGAGAAGTTTGGATACTCCGCTGGATTGGTTATGAGGCTTACTTTAAACACTAATTGCAATAACCAACAAAGAGGTGCCAAGCATCGTGGCTACCTTGCGCCGCTCCTATTTATTTAATAATAAAATTTCGTCGACCATCGCCAGTGGCAGGCATAAATTGCAGAGTACTCCGGCTAGCCATGGGGGTTCGGATCCGGGACTCCATTCCGGACATTGTTTGTTTTTCTGGCGGAAAGAAGATGGAAAAGTAAGTGGGGCAGAGGCAGGGGTCCGGCAACCGGCAACCGGCGATGCGTCCCATTCATAACCCATATTCAATTTTGTGCTGCAGCTCCAGCGCCGCAGGCGGCAGTTCTCGGATTCCACTGGCAGTGCATCCTCATGGTCGACGGCTTAGCCAACTTGCATAATCACTGGCAGGGTCTGTGAATTTATAGAACGCTTTGCGGGCACCTGAGTCACGAGCCGTGGCCGGTGGCCCTCTGCCCACTCGAAGGCCCACTTGAACGCCCACTCCCAATCTACTGACCAATTATTGAGCCGTTGCCAAATGCAAGGCATAAAATGAGCGCACATATTGCCGGGACGGGCTGCGTGGGGAGTCGGATTGCAAGGAGCCGGAACGAATCGGATCCGAAAGTTTAGGAAAGGTGCGGGGCAGATGTTGGAGTTGGCATTAGTTTTGGAGGAGGACCAGGAGGAGGATGCTTGTGGCAGCGGCGCAGAAACAAGAGCAATAACTGTTTGGCAAACAGATTTATTTTTGTTCCCAAGTCCCCAGGAGCGGAGTTTGTGCTTAAGGATTCCTCTCTCCAGCAGTTCGTTCGCAGCTCTGATTAAGATGCTCTTCCTTATAGTTACTAGGTATTTGTAATGAACATTCCAGTTGGAGGATTAACAATCAGTCTGTTTGCTTCGGCAACAGCACCAACTGCGCTCGCATCTAATTCCTAAATGCCCACAGATTCATGCGAGCCAAACTCAATTATCCATTTAGGGCAGGACAAACAGGACCGCTCCTGGGCTTCCCTGTGGGCCTAGCCCACGGCCCGCACAAATATTGGTTTCCAACTTTCATTGCCACTGCGGTGTGGCGTCTGCGAAGCCCGGTCAAAAGCGGAAAAGGCCTCTCCCTCCGGGCTACAGGCTGTTCGCTCCTGGCTCGTGGCTCCTGCTGGTGCTACATTAAGTGCATGTTTTGACTGCGCCGCATCCTCGCATCCTCGCAGCCCGACTCGATTCTGACCACAGACAGCCAGGCCCACACACTTCAACCTGCCAGCCGAGCAGCCAAAGTGTGGGCGGCCGTGGGCGGACGTGGGCCGCGTGGGTGCAGTGCATCATTTTTGCATTAGAAAAGTGCAGGGCCATGAAAACTGTAAATAACGTGGAGCACATAAGACTGAGGGTCGGGCAAAATCCCAATGGCTGCGCTGCTGGGCCAGCCGCAAATTATGCTTGTCAAAAATGAATGTTGCATACGTAACGGAAGGCAAGGCGAGCTGCACTGGGAGAAAAACCGTAGGCTTTCAAACATAACTTGCTCCAAAAGGTGAGTTTACTTGGCACATATCCTTCTCCCAGTGCAGCTAACGAGTGGGTGGGCCGCCTGCCAGGAAAAGCCACAAAGTGCGACCAAGCGGGAGTCAAAGGGGCTGGAGGCGGGCGAGAGCGAGGTCGCTGCTAGAAATCGCAGCAGTTGCGGTTGTCGTCGGCGGCGTACGTGCTCGATGCGTGGCAATCGGATTCCCCCGAGGGTCCGCACATGGCCCACGTACCCACGAATCCGCAAGAGGACTCGCACACGGAGTGCGGACCACGGCCAAGCCCCACCAAACCAAACTAAAGCAAAGCCAAGCCGAAGTCGGTGCCAACGGCTCTCGAATCGCTCCTTGGTCTCGGTCTGATTCTGGGTGCTGAGTTCTGGGTGCTGAGTTCTGGGTCGAGGTGGTTTTGGCCAAAATCGGAGCTCCGCTGGGCTGGAGAGGAAGCTGGCGATGATGACGCGGCTGCTGACGCAGATGCAAGGGCAACTTTTGACTAAATGGGGCTCCAAGTGCATTAGGACGGAAGTGTTATTACGGCGAGACACTGAACATTTTGGATTTTCTTTTCATCCATTTAATGATCATTGAGTAAAGATAACATATTAACAATATAAAGGTATGTGCACAATTCCCCATGCGTAAATTCCCTTTGATTGACGTTAATGTTAATTTCCCAGTGGCACGTCGCCTTTAATTTTCCGGATGAACGGTGCACTGGTTTCCCTCAGTGTGATTCCCTTGCACTTCGCAGTCATTATTGAAGCATTTGGCAAGGTGGCTGCGGCACTGGGAAGCGGAGATTAGGCGCGGAAACGCTCCGAATGTTCGCTTGGTTATCGCCGGCAAACATTTCAAAATGGCAATGGCAAAAGTCGGAAATTTGATATGCCAAAAACCGTTTACGATCAACAAGTGATAGGAACGGGCTCATGGCAAATTATGCAGATTGCCTGGGAAGGGGCTCCTAGGATATTGAGGAAGTTGACTGCAGTGTTTGGCGAGAACTTTCCATCAAGTGCGCAGGAAGAGACATTGATTTGACTGCAGCGAAGTTTTCCATTATGGAAATGTCATCAAATCGATTTTCCCCTTTCGGTTGGCCTTGTTTTTGCTCTTGTGCGGCTGTAATGACGGTATGCTAAATGGTGGGAAATCTGGGGAAAGCTGGAAAAAGGGCATAGATGCATATGGCACGTACTTATATGTATGTAAAGGCTTTGTTTTTGGTTTTATTAAATTTATTCATATTTCTCTTTGTGTTCTCTGTTACTCGTATTATTAGAGTAATAATAATAATTATTATTATTCCATCTATGTTAATATAGTGTGTAATAAAGCTTGACAATCTATTAATGCTATTACAATGTGTTCTCGGTTATATTGTTTGTTCAATGTTCGTTTTTCTGGTCTGTCCTCTTCGTTCATGTCCACATCCATGTCCATGTCCGTGTCCGTGTCCGTGTGTCCTGTCGGGATGTTGTGTATTTATAAATGCGTATTCGAGTTCGTGATGGATTCTGATTCAGATTCAGATTCTGTGCGGCTCGTAGGATTTGGCTAATTTCAGCTTTCGAATGGAATTCAAGTTAAAATGCAATATGCAATGTAATGTTTTCATGGTATTGTACAAAATTTGTTACTACTATTCATCATTCGAGTTTAATTTATTTCGGCATAAAAAGTTAATTTTGCCGCCTGCCGCATGCCGCATGCCACATGCACCGCCACCAGATGCAGATACCCAAACACAAAGTCACACGCGGATACTCGGATACTCGGATTCCCGGATTCAGATACATTTCGCATCTAGGTATCTGGTTCTGTGGGCGCCTTCCATTTGCATTCAAGCTGAGTAATTAAAATCATAGTAACATTTCCATCTCCGTCCGGAAAAACGCGTGGCGGTCGTGGAAGTGGAAATTGGGAAATGGGAAATGGAAAATGGTGAATGGTAAATGGTAAATGGGAGACGTAGTTAAAAGCATAGTTTAAATTTTCTCTAGTCGGGCCCTTGCTATTCTCATTACCCATTACTCTATTTGCGTGTTTACACTTGTCTTTTGCTCTCGCTCAGTTGGCGGTTTCCATTTGGTTTTAATTAGTTAAAACGATTTAAAATGAATAAAATATTGGCTCTGTCTGCGCGAGTATGATGTAATTAAAATGGCCTATGTATGTACAGGGTCCGCCCCTCCCGCCAAAGTTTCCGTTTCTGTTCGTGTTTCGGGTTCAGATTCAGATTCGGATTCAGATTTAGATCCGTCCATTAGAGCGGACAAAAATGCTTTGATTGAATCATCCACTCTGCGCTGTCAAAAATGAGGTACGCAGGGCAATGGGATTCAGTTAAATTATATACAGATTAAACTAGAATGCTCTGTTTGCCGTGTTTTGTGTGTGCCGTGCAAATTTGCTCTGGTTCAGTTCATAATACCAAAATACAAAAATCCCTTCGCCTGAAACTCGGCGCACATTAAACAACAACGGCGATAAAACAAATAGTGGATAACTACGGGGTGAAGGGGTTAAAAATCTCATGGAAGTTGTGCAAATATTTGCCTGCATACTTTCCCATAATTATTATAGTAATTCATTGCATTCATGTGTTTAATTATTCCGCACACACACACGCACACACAGATGCACACAGATACACACACGCATGCACTTATCATGCGAAGGGTGAGTGGGGCGGTGAGTGGGCGTGGTCATGTAAGTGGAATTTATCGTGTACTTATACTGACTTCTATAGCTTACTTTTACATTACCAAGCTCGAATTTGAAACTTTCTACAGACACAAAAAATCCATTTAATGCGACCTCTGTTCTCCCGTCCCCCGTGCGCCCTCCTCTACAAACATGGATCTCGATAAATGTTTACATTGCATATGTACGATATACTATATATAAGATATACACATCGATATAGCCTAGCTTGGGTCGTATTTGTTTTCAATTCTTTCTACATTCAGATTACACACAAGTACAAACATATGCAGATATACGAGTATGTTGCGTAAGTGTTAATGTCGTACCTTATTCAGATATAGTTTGGATCTACTTGCAGGACTTCGAGTGGGAAAACGCAGAGGATCGAATGTGTTCTATTCTGTATGCTGGGATCTGAGACTGACTAAATCATAGGTACTAGGTGTTCAGCAAATACTACGGTAACTAACACGTCTAAACAATCGCATGGGGCTAACAGGTTAAAAACAGACTTTAAAAACTTTTGGCACGACTCTGTGATATATGCTTGAGATACTTGCGGGTAGTGAGCATAAAATTATTTTGATTAAAAGTCCTTAAGCAATAGGAATACATTTACATATGTACAAGAGAGGAACTATTTTACGGGGCTGAGGGGCTAGAAACTAGATAAAGTATTTATATATCCAATGCACATCCAGGGTTATAAGGGCGAGTATATGGGGCGTAATAGATCTGGCTAACGTTTTATATATGTATATATGTATATGCATATCTAGAGATATGAGTTTCGCGCCTCACACCACCTGTACCAATCTAATCCTATTCAGTGTCTCATCTCTAAACCCCTAATCTCTAGCACCCCAGAAGCAATATGTCTAAGACTCGACCAGCCATGGGTCCAATACACACGCGATTAATCGTACTATACACCTTATGAAGATCAGTTTGGTCGCTATACCTTATAGAATACACCCGCTGCTGACCTCTAAGGAGGTGCAGACTTCAGGGACTACTACCAAATGCTAGCTGGGATTGGGACTCTAATGGAGCATGAATCGGAAGTATATTCTTGAACGGTGTCTAGTCTGAGAGTGCAATCCGAATGGAAAATAAAGGTTGTCTTTGCTGGTTAAATCAACATTTTTGAAATCTATAATTTTGATTGGGCTGTGATGACAGTCTCGTTTGGATTCTCATTTTTATGTTAAATACCTTTTTAATGACCTCTTACAGTTTAATGCCTAAAAATGAGAACCCAGTCAATCCTGACCGCGTTTCTTGTTGGATTTGTGGTCTTCAGAGGAATGTGATGCAGTCAATAGATTGTGTGGGTTGCTACACATACATATGTTCATTTAGAGCACTCGTTCCTCAAACTGATATGAACCAAACGATTGCCAAGGGTTTCCCGGGTCTCCGGGGACACGAATCTATTGACCTATTTACACCTGGGTACCGTAATACTAGAGCGACACGAACTCGCCAGGACCGCCGCCCTGGTCCTGGCCTTGGGTCACCTCCTGCGCCTGGTGGAGATCCTGCGACTGCTCGGGCATGCCCTGGGGCTGGCTCTCCGCCTGGCCAAAGAGCGTCTCGTTTTCGTAGCGCTCCTCGTCGTGCAGCGAAAGAGTGGATCCACCGAGTCCTCCGCTCGCGGTGATCCGCCGACCCATGTTGTCGTACTTGGGGTAGGCGGAGCTGTCCAGCGGCCTCATGGGCGTGACCTCGACGGGCGGCGATTGGCAGGCGGAGGGCGGCGGCGGCGCATTGTTGATGCAGCTGGCGCAGTTGCTGGGACTCGGGTGATGGCACTGCACCACCGCTGTTACGGCGGGCGGCGGCGGCGGAGGAGGCAGCTCCATGGCGTTGCTGTGGTACGCCGCCTGGTGGGGGTCATAGCCACTGGCCTCCAGGTTGTAGGTCACTATTTCATCATGTGTGTAGAGTCCGGATGGCTGGTGCTGCTGTTGGAGTTGCTGCTGCTGCTGCTGCATTTGCTGTTGCTGTTGCTGCTGATGCTGCTGCTGAATTTGCTGCTGCTGCTGCAAGGAGGTGTCCTTCTTGAGAATACCTCTCCGGGCCGTGTGTCTCGGTAGAGTGGCAAACTGACCCTCGGGCACGGCAACTGCACCAGCACCACTCTCCTGCACGTCCTGCATCCGCTTGGGAATGTTCAGCAAATCGGGATACATGTTCAGGTCCGCACCATCCAGCATGTCCTGCGTAACGGATACCCGGATGAAGATATTGCCCCCAAAGGCTGGATTCGGGACTATGTTGGAGCAAAACTCTGGGGGCGGCGGAAAGACGCCCACGTTCAGCGGGAACTCCTCGGAGATCTGGGCAGGATGCGAGTGGGCATGGCCTGCCATTGAGGTGGGCACACTCATCATGCCGCAGGTGGGATCTTTGACCTGCATCAGCTGCTGCCGCATTCCACCACCACCCGCAACCTGTTGCTGTTGCGGCTGCTGCTGCACCAACATGCTGCCATGCCGATGACTGTCCACCGCATGGATCTCTATCTGGTTGAAGCCCATTCCGGCCGAGTCGCCCTTGTTCATGCCCATGGAAGTGGGCTGGTTGTCGATGCCATAGCTGTCGCCGCGATCATTGGTCGTCGTGGTGACGCTCGAGTCCAGAAGTTTCTTTTCCTGATCATTGAAGCTGACACTCGACTTCACTCCGGCCTTGTTGGCATGCCGGTGCTGGCGGGTGGTGCGCTTGCACAGACAGACCACAAACGAGATGGAGATCAGCAGAAAGACGGTTCCGAAGATGCCCATGATGAGGCCGAAGTACCAGAAGGTCTCGGGCGTTTTCTCCAGCACATGCTGAACGATCTCGCTGAGGTAGATGCTGATGTTCTGGGTCATGCTGCCGATGGCATTCGCGCCCGTGCAGGCGTAGGTGCCGGCATCCAGGCTGGTCACGTTGAAGACGGTGAGGTTACTCCACAGCTTGTCCGAGGAGATGCTCTCCGAGTCGAAGAGCACGTTGTCGTTGTCCAGTATCTTCCCATTCAGCTCCCAAGCCACCTCCGGCAGCGGATCGCCGTACACCAGGCAGCTAAAGGTGGTATTACTGCCGATGTCGATGTTCTGCACCTCCTCGTTGTTGAAGATCTCCACCCGCGGCGGACAGCCGAAGAGCTCGTCGTCCACGCTGTCCCAGGTGCGATCCTTCTGGGCCGGCGGGCCCTTGCACACCAGACTCACGGAGCTCAGGCGGCTGTTCACATACCAGCCGCGGAACTTGCGCAACTTGCAGTTGCACTGCCAGGGGTTCTCCTCCAGGGAGAGGGTCTTCAGATTGGCCATGTGCTGGAACACGTACTCGCTGAGGCTCTCCAGCAGATTGTTCTTCAGGTTGAGGAACTCCAGCAGGTTCAGGTTGGCCAGGGACATGGGATCGATGTAGGAGATGAGGCAGTCGTGCATGTCCAGGGTGCGCAGATGGGGCAGAATAGGAAACTGGTACGCCGCCAGGCGCTTGAGGGGATTGCCATTCAAGTAGAGTATCCTCAGGCGATCGTTGCCCATGAAGGTGTCCTTGTCGAGCATCTCCAGCTTATTGTCCGACAGGTCAATCTCCACCAGGATCTTCAGATTGCGGAACGACTCCTTGTGTATGTACTGCACCTCGGACTTCTTGAGGTAAATGCGCTGCAGGTTCAGCAGCCCCAGAGTGGAGAACTCCTCCCGGTTGAGGTACGGGATGTGGTTGTCATTGAGCACCAGCACCTGCAGCTCTGTGCTCAGGGTGTTCGGAATGGTGGTCAGCTGCAGGGAGCTGCAGATGGCCGACTTCTTGCCATTGGTCCACTTGCAGGTGCAATTGGAGGCGCAACTGAGGGACCAGTCATCTGCCACGGTCCAGGCCACCAGGCACAGCAGAATCCAGCAGACTGCGGAAGAAACAACGAACACGAATTTAAATGTATTAGTTATAAATCACAGAGTGACATTAAACTGGGCTCCCAGAAAAAGTGTATGTACGTGACTAATCTGCAGTGGATTCTTTTGTATTGACCATCCATTTTGGCGCGTGGCACCTGCTGCCTGGGAATGACAACTCACCTGGCAGAGCCCTCGGGCTGCTGCTCCTCCTGCGCTCCATGCTGCGGTGCATATGGCTTCGTTCGGGGCTCCTGCTGCCGATTTTCCACTACCCTGGCAATTGATGACCCTAAATGGCTTTGGCTGATTCGATTGCCATGTTTCACATCATGTTGCCGCCGCCAGCAAAAAGGTCTCCATTACTCCACATTACTCAGCACTTTGGCCACACTTCTTCGGCACTATTGATTTTGCCGTTTTTTGCCCTCCGCCTCCAGTTTGGCTGAGTTCTTTTCTTTTAATTTGCTTCGAGTGGAAAGTTGGTCCTTCTGGGTGCGGCTGCTCCTCCTGCTGCTCCTGCTCCTCCTGCTGCTGCTGGTATCCTTTTAAGAATTCTTAAATCTGCAAAATGTAAAAGAGAATCCGGTATTAGCGTGAGCGGCCAACAATGCCCATTGTAGTTGTGTAGTTGTGCAGTTCCAGTGGTTCCCACCGCACCCACACTTGGCCCATTTGTAATCTCTGTTTACCGAGCTCGGGTTTGGCCTCTGAATGGAGTGGGTGGGTGCTGCCAAGTGGCCGTGGCTTTAAAATCGCCTTTCAACAACATTTTGTAATTTGTTGTACGTCCAGCTGGACGGCACAACAAAGCGGCAACCAAAACCCGCAGGGGCTCGGCTCCAACTCTGGGCATTCCCCACACTCTGGCCGGCTCCATTCTCATTCTCATTTTCATTGGCATCGACAGCGGCATTGGCATCGGCATCGGCATCGGCATCGGCATCGGCATCTTTACAAAATCAGCATCAATAGCCTGTCGAATGCTTTTTACTTTCGTGCCCACCCCCACGGGTTTTGTTTGTACTTCTTTTGAATGAGGAGGAGCGGGACTGAACTGGAAAAAAGCCAACTCAAAGCGTTTCCGAGGTGGAGCGCTCCACTGCAGAAAAATACTATAATTGTAACTGAGCTGCACGATTGTGGATTAATTATAAATGCCACTTTAAGAGCCGACACCTCATTCAATAATATGGGAGCAGGATCTGTTCCATGTTGCTGACTTCACTTGTTACCCATTTTAAGGCACTTGTAAGTGCTGCTTTCTGGCATAAAAGTAATTTAGCTGTGCGGAAAATGCCTAATTTAACACAATCTGCACCGCACTTACTGTTGCCAGCCGAAGTGGGGCCACATTCGCTGTGCCCCAGGTTTCCTGTATCACTCACACCCACCTCCACCTGCCCCCAACCCGCCCAGCCACCAGCGCAGGAGGATGAATCCGCTCCACTGGCAAACTACGAGATACAGACAGACAATGAAAACGTAAAAAGCTCAAAAGGTTCATTTGTCAATTTGCCATTTGAATTTGTATTTGAGAATTCACTTGGCCGCTTTTGCGCTTTGTCCTGATGGCACCCGGTCCCGCTCCTCGTCCCTCGCCCCCCGCCGCTCACCAGGACCCCTCTTCAAAAAGGACGACCCACAAAGCCGGGCCAAAACCTTGGCAGCCTCAATTTCTGCTCATCGCTCGTTGCTGGCAATGCGGATAATATTTCCTGTGTCAGTGCAGCAGCAGTTGGCAGTTGCAATTGCTGGCTTTTTCTCGGCCCAGACCGCTTTTCCTCGCCCCTTGATATTTTCCACTTTCCACTTTCCTCCCAATCGTCGACAGTTTTATTTTGCTGCTTTATGAGCACACAGATAGAAAATGGTATATCATTTTATGGACTTTGATTCCCAACGGGAGCTGGAAAGATAAATAATGCGATTCGATCGCTTTGGAAGACGGAGTACGTTTACTGATCGAACTACTTTGGAGCCTGAACAGCAAGAATTAAATTGGATTGGATGGATTACATGAGATTAGTAAACTATTTCAAGCCATATCTACATACGTGTATGGCTAGTTCTCCAGACATTTCTCGCAGTGAAGAGGAATCGGCACTCACAGGTTCGTTGATATTCATAAATGTGGCACAGTGGACCAAAAAAGCAAAGCTAATTTGATGGCCAATTGCCAAAGGAGGCCAGCCACAGCACGGAACAATATTAAAAAAATATTATGGCGGAATATGTTGCAAGAGCACTGACTGCAGCCGCAAGTCGTAAAGCAAATCAATTAACTGATGCCACACAGACATGGGGTTCCAGCACATGGGAGATGGCCCAGAAAGATATGGCTGCCTCGACATTCTGCATTTAGCCTCTGCCAAACTCAGACGTATAGCGACTAGAGGGCCCTGGTATCTGGCTGTTGGTATCTGGCTAATCTGCCGGAATGGACGGTAATTGTTAGCCCGTACTCGGCAATTGCCAATTTGATTTCGAATCCAATTCAAGATAATCTGCGGCAGTTTAGCTGCAAATTGATTTCGGGTTTCAAATCCAAACAGGTGCAACAGTGCGTATGAGCAATTATACAGCGCTAAATTAAGTGGACCTGGAACTCGGAGAATGTTACTCCAATCCTGTGCCGGAATCCTGCTCGAAACATGGAATTATCCAAGTCGGTTAGCATGTAAGTCTTAAATCCCGTCAGGATATGAGGCAAAGTCACTGTGAAATTGAGCGACAGAATTGAAAACTTTCCGCCAACACATTTGTGCACATATTTGTAGTGCCATGTTGACTGAAACGCAGTTATGCAGAATTAAAAGAATTGATTATAACCGAATCAAAAGCCTTACCATTCCAGTGCACCCGAATTAATAATGCATTATAAATGCAATAACCCATCGTAATTCATTGTTACTTCCCGCCTGCGGGACTTTAAAGTGCACAATTCCACCTTAATCCATTATAGCCCACCTCACATTTGGTTCGGCGAGTAAATTGCCAGTCTAGTTTTTCGCGTTTTTCGTTGGTCATATACAATTCCATTTGACAATTGGAATTCAATTTCAATTTTAGCTGGCCCAAAAGTTAACTAAATGTCCGCCCCGCAGCTCGACCACGCCTCGCTCATTTGTAAAACTTCATCAAATGTAATTGTCGGAAAACAGGAAAAAGTCCTTGTCCAGGACTAACAATTGGAGGCCATGCCCCGTGCTGCATTACCAAATTAAAAACAAAAACTAAACTTTTCAGCTTTTTCTTCCATTCCGATTCCATGCCCAACTTCCCTTCCTTTGCCTTCGGGCTGCGTGGCCAGGGGCGTAGGTCACCACCGGGGTTATTTAGCTATTTTTTTAGATTATGCAAATGCGACGCGGCTATCTATTTGTTTATGTAACCAATCTGGCACGGGCTTTGGGGTCGCGCTGTTTTGATTAGCGCTACACGTAAGATAAGGGATTTTTACATAACACGTCAATCGCACTCAACCCGCAAAAATTAGCATATTTTGCATGAATTACCAGCATTTTACCAGCCCATATTTTCAGAAAAGGATATCATTCCTCAATTATTGCACATACCTTTGCTTTTAGCTAAGACCTTAAATTGTTTAATGCGTCCAAGTATCTGTTGCACAACAAAAACCCCTTGTAATCTATGACTTTGAGAAATAAAGATCACGCCGCGTTTCGACTTTCACCTCCCAACGGACTCTTCGCTGGAATCCCCTTAGGTCTAAGCCCCTGTGCGTATGCAAATGGTTTCTTTGCCGCCTGGCTGAGCACTTTCTCCGCCCAAAGACCGCCCACCCTGCTCCTGCCACGCCCACCTGCCGCCCACCCAGCTTCGCCAATTGTTTTGCTGTTGCATAAGCACGTGCGAATGTGCGTGCAAATGCAAATGGCGATGGAAAACTTTTTAAATTGAGCAAACATTAACAAAAAGGCAAATCCAGAAGTGGGCGGAGCTCTGCCGGGCAGCGGCAAGTGGCGGCAGCTGGGGGCTGGGGGCGTGGCACTTGCATGGCAAAAGCAAATAGAAGCGGAAAAAAAAATAGCACAAGAACACGAGTAGGTTGCTCTTATCGCCTGTCATCGGGTGGCCTATTTGTTGTTGCTTGTTAAGACCAGGACTCGCCAATCTTTCAAGGACAGCCGTCTCCAAAGTGTAAATTGCAAACTTTTCCTTGGGCTCCAAAGTGGATCGGGGCGTCCGTCGTGCCACAAATCCGCACATAATCGGAAAATGTCACAGGGAAAAAACAAGCAAAATTAATGGCACTCGAAGCGCCGCCAGGCCAGGATTAGATGCCGCTGACGTTGACCGTGTTGAGTTTTATTGCCGCCCGGAAATGGTTTTCATAAATACACAAAACTCCGCAAGGAGCAGGGACGCAGGGCAGGATTGCAGGATTGCAGGATGACTGGATGGCAGGATGGCTGGATGGCTGGATGGCTGGATGGCTGGATGGCAGGATGGCCTGATGGCAGCAGCAGACACTTATGGACGGGGGCAATGCAATTATCTGGGGGCAGAGTGCAAGTGCAGCACATTGTACGTGCGAAAACGAGAAACAGGACATTCGCCTTAGCCAAGCAGCCCCGGGGCTTCTGCCACGGGGATTCTGGGGCAGGAGGTGTACGGCGGAGAAGGACATAAACATGTGCCTGGCTCCTCCTGCTCCTGCTCCTACTCCTGCTCCTGCTCCGGCAAGTGCAATTGTTATTGTTCGCCGTGGCCTTCGCATGCGGAGCATTGTAAATTTATCATGAGCTGTGCCAGGATTACACAGAAAGAAACCAGTGGTCTTCGGCAAGGCAAACCCTTGGTGGTCATGATTTCCCAACTAAGTGGGAGTAGTATTACTGAAATGATCTAGAATTAATGCAATCATGTTTCCAATTCGATATAATTCGTTTTTTTCCGTGTGCAGAGGGCTCCCATCTCACACCCGCAGTTATCTTGGCCATTATTGAGGCCAAAACAATAGACTGGCCACGGGGGAATCAATAAAATCGGTCCGTAATCAGGCACCTGCAAGGCTTCCGGTAATGCGGCGCTCCAAGTTGCCTCCGAAACGCATTGAACTGGAGGTACCTCCAGTCCATTGTGGGCCGCATAAATAATACTCTGCTGAAACTATTGTCTTGCCAGTTAGGCTACCAATTTATCTGGGAACTTCTAATCAGTTCGAGCCTGCAATTGAAATGAGCCCTAATTGGCGTCCGCATCGGCAGCAGCAGCTTCGATCTGAGCCACCCATTCATTATATTTTCATTTCGTTTCAGTTTCGAATAAACTCGAGTGCAACAGTGCGTGCAAACAGTTATTCAACATTAAGCCAACAATAACGAGTAGCCGCCCTGTTGGCTTCGCAGGAAATTTGCCATTTGGAAATTTACAATTGCCATTTACCATTTACCATTTACAATTCACCATTCACCATTTCTGTGTTAATAGGAAAGGCGGTATTGATTGAGTTGGCTTATTGGCAGCTTATAAATAGCAATGCTTTCCAGCCCCCCTTGGTTTAATTGGAAAATTACAATTTTCAGTGAAAACAGGGC